GGGGGGAAGAGAGAGAGCGAGCGGGAGGGCCGAGGAGGCAGCTTCCCTTCCTGGCTCAGTTCAGCCTTCATCCCCATCAGGCGCTGCTCCCCATCCTTGCCAGGCTCTGGAAAGCCATCAACTTCCCTTCGCCGTGTGGGTTCAAGACATCGTCGTTCCCCCCCCTTCCCTCCCTCCCGCTCGATTGTTGTCTTCGCTTCTGAACCCGAAGAGGGGTGGGTGGGTGTCATTTTGTTTGTTAGGTGTGCGTTTTGAGAAAGGCTCTGTTTGGTAGACGGCTCCCTCCCCGCCCCCCCCCGCTTCCACCAGAAGCCACACCACTGCAAAATCATCCATCATCACCAGAAGGCAGAGGCTATCTTTAATTAAAACTGTCTTGAGAGGAATAAAAAATGACAATATCCCACCTCAGAATTATATCGGCCGGGTTTTTCATGGCGAACCACTGTCCTTCCTCGCAGATTTTCTGTAGCTCATTTGAAAAGGCACCTTATTTAAAATCCTAGTTTGCATAGGATCGGGAACTTCTGGCTACATCAGCCTCTGCTGCTGCTTGACTCTCCTTTACCCTGTCTCTGCTATCAGGCTCCCTTCTGTCTCCCCTCCCTTTCCTGTCAATCCTAGTGTACCTGTAGGGTGGTGTGTTTATTGATTGATTGCTCGATTTAGATTATTATGTAGATCATCACAGTCTTCTGAGCAGTGACCGGATTGCATATATTGTGTTACAGCCCTCCCTGAAGAGACTTTTGGCAGTGCATATAAATAAATAATGCTGTAACCAAAAGGTGTGTCGAAGAATCAGTCAGTTTGTGATTGTATAGATGTTCTGCAAGTAAGTTCCTGAGTTCGACAGTAAATATGTACAGACTTGAGTGGTATATCTCTGAAAAGACTTGGCTTTGCTCTCGCTCACAAAACAACAACAACAAAAACCACTAGTAGGAGCCTTACTAATATTATGAAAAATATTCTGTGTTCTTGTTGCTTGCTTGCTTGTTTGTTTTTGTGATAGTACTGGAATATTTTTTTGATTAATCAGACTCCTAGGTGTCAATTTACATTTGAAGAGTTTTCTCCTGTATGTATTATGAAAGTGTGACCTCTAAAATGTACTGTTCTAGTAATGTGACTAAGAAGATTAATAGATTCCAAGTCAACACGGAGGATGTTAGCACTTGCTGATACCCTTTAATGTACAGATTAGTCCATAAAGTTGAGTGAAGCGTGTAATAAATAAAAGGTATCTTTATTTTTTTTAAGCAAATGGTACTGGAGTAAATTTGTTTTTAGCATTCTTCATGTACTGTTTATCAGAGAGAATTCTGAGGCTCCTAAGGAAAGCAGTCTATTGTGGTTTTAAGAGTGTGTATGCCAGCATTGTTGTCTCATGTAACTGAGCAATTGGATGAAACTTTAAGACTTGCACAGCCGTGTGAGAGAAACAATAGCATATTTCTTCTTTCTCCTTAAGTAAGGGAACAGTGGCTCTTTTTTATGAGTGGGTTACACTGGAAATACTGTTAATTTATGAATTGAAGTGCAACTGCATTTTATTTTTATTCAACAGTTTGAATCTTTAGATATGCACAGTGGGTTACCTGCTTTAATTTGAATGAGGTTTTACTCTTCTCTGTATAATCTGCCCTTCACAGTGGCTGTCTATGAAAGGGTTTTTTCTGAGCTTACAAGAACATATGACAGTAATGAATTGGCTTCTTTGAGAGAAAAAAATTATTGTTGTGCAATAGCTACATCAGTGTTTTTGAAGGTGCAACTATACTCTTGTATGTATACTTTTTAAAATGTTAAGTATTGCAATCAAAGTAATAAATCTGGAGCATGGTTGTCTTGCTACACCTTTCTCCTTAGGGGGAAAATTAGGGGTTTAGAACCTTTTGTGATGTATCTTGAAGTAAAACAATCACTCTTCATGATGGTTTCACGGGGAAATCAAATCCCTTGTGAGTAGATTTGAAAGAACCAAGATACTTGGAAGTTCTCTACTTTCCTAAGTTTCGAGTGGTAACTGGTGTTCAGTAGCTTAGAAGTCATGCTCATCGTATTTTGAGCTTTCTCTTGACAACAGAACCCACGAATAAACGTTCAGTGTGAATTATTGCTGGAATAGAATATTTTATGGTTGTCATGACTACAAATAGAGCAATGGTTGCTCGTTTCCCCCCCTAAATGTAGTGGTAGAATGGGGGGGGGTTGACGTAGAATTCAAGTTCTTTGTTACTTCTACAGTACTGTGATTATATTTCTAATGAATTGATAGCCACACATCAGGTATCTGGTACATGCAGAACAGTGAATTCAGTATTGATAAAAACCCTTCATAGAACAGACCTGTAAAAGAAGGTGTTGCCTTTACTGTTGTTAAGTTCTTACTGTAAACCATAGGGCTAAGACAGTTGGAAAGGAAGGCAGAAGGCCATCCCGTCTAGCACTCTGTTCCAACCCTTCCTGCATAATCGAGACCAGTAGTTCTTAACCTTTGTTACTTGGATGCTTTTGAACTGCAACTCTCAGAAATCCCAGTCAGGACAGCTGGTGGTGAAGGCTTCTGGGAGTTGCAGTCCAAAACTCCTGAGTAACCCAAGGTTAAGAACCAGTGATCCAGACTATCCTGTGTTGTAGGAACAAATAATGCACAACACACAGAAATATCTGTCAGGCAAAAAGCTGTTATGTGTCCATAGTGAAGTACAGTACTGGAAAGGCTTGAGGAACCGTGTCTTGCACAGTTTTCTAAAGAACAGTGCTGTTCCTATTTTAAATTATTTTTATTCCTAGCTTAAAATATATCGGGTATATCCAGTCTGTCAAACAAAAATAGCTACAGAACAAATCAATGTCATTTTTGGTGAGAAAATCAGTTTGCCATGATAGAAAAGTTCTGCTATCCATATACTGTATGTCACTTTATCTATCTGAATTAAGCTGTATATTCAGCATCTTACAAAAACTCTTCCCTAATTTTCCCCCGGTCTATCCAGAACAATTTGAACTGGTGTTAATAAATTAGCAGTTAAAGCCTTAGTACTTTTCTCTGCCGTATATGGCAGGCAGATTCATAACAAAGATTTCAAATTTTATATTTATGTATTTTTCTGTTTGGCAATAAATCTGAACTTCAGGATAGCTGCTTAAGACCTCAGCTTCCCCATTTCAGCATCCAAACCGTTAGGTTCTATACATCCTACTTATTTGCTGAACCATCGTATACTGTTTCTATGTACTGAGATTCCTTCACAGATGTAGATACTAACCAAGAAGACTTGCTGAACTACCGTATTTTTCGCTCCATAAGACGCACAGACTTTCCACACCCCTGTTCTGTGGGAAAAAAGTGAGTCTTATGGTGCAAAAAATACAGTATTTTGAATCACATCTTCTCCATCACAGATTTCCTAATCCCTTTCTCATTGGTTATCATAGATCAGTTTTCTTAAATAGAACTCTGATAGAGACTAAAATATACTTTTATCACCAGCATAATTTCAGGAATATTTTCAAAGTGAGTGAATTATAATAAGTAGCTTACTTTTACAGGGTTTAAAATAGAATTCTGAATTTGAAAATACTCAAACTGGGAGCTACTCGCCTTCTGTATTCAAACAACAGTTCTGAGAATTGCCTCCAAATAATTCATCAGATCCTGTAATATACTGTACTGTAGCACATTGTTAAGGAATCTCCAAGAAATAGCATGTGTTTTTTGAGTTTGGTTGTTGAAATTAAAGGTTCTCTCATTGCTTTCACCCTACACTAAACTCAAGTTCTCACATTTTGTTCTCAAATTATTTTACCATACACTCAGTTTGTGCTGATCGCTTCGGCATCCGTGGGAACAAGCTTAATTCCTGTTCCAGTATAGAATCCAAATTGTGGTGTTGTACTAAATCAAAGTGTTATCCATCATGAGCATCAGAGTGTGGATGTTTAAAAGCCTTGTCCATGATGAGCATCAAAGCATGATATTCAGTATTCCACAAAATCAAAGCCTTATCCATAATGAACATCAAATCATGATCTTAAAAAGGGAAATGCCAGCACACATTCCTTACATTGAGGACAATGCCAATCTGACATAATCTTAATTAATTTTTCTTTTCCTAGGTAAATAGAAATGAAGCATTTTCCTGTCCTCAAATTTTTCTATAATCCACAAAAAGAGAGAATGAATAAGGGGTAAAAAAAACTCTTTTATGGGAGAAATATTTTTGATAGATATCCTTTTTAATTGGACATTTTAAAAACTTTGACATTTTTAGCTTTGACCATATTTCTAGGTCTTTAATTAATAAAGAGTGATAATTTAATTTTTTAAAAATCGAACTCATCTCAGATGGTTTTGCTCCCAAATATCCTAAAATTTAAATGTACAGTAATTTATTTAGTCTGAATAAACCTATGATCTGCCACTGATAAATGCAATGCAGTCATTTCTGATTTGTCTTGTTTCCAAGGATTAGACTGTACTTATCTACTGAGTAGAGATATGACTAAATAAATTATTCTCAGAGCAATGTATCATCTGCATTGTAATAAAATTTTTATAACTCCTTATCCAGCTCTTCCCCTTTCATATCA